ATATTCTCTCCAGCACTTATCTTTCATCATGTTGATAATAGCCATTCTAATTTCATGGAACTTTTCAATATCTATGTGCCATATATTGATTTTGTAATGCAAATCTCTCCTATTAGCATAGATGTTCCATGAAACAAGAACTTTGTCTTCCTTGTTCAATATGGCATTCCTAGTAGTACTTAGAGAGATACTGACACATAATGGGTGCTCAATAATATTGTATAGAATAGTTGTTGTTGACTGAATAAAATGTGCCCCCATAGTATCCTAAGTTAATGCTAAACATCTATGACTGTCCCTGAGACCCATAAAAATAATGTAGAGCTGAGGCTTGGCTCTGATCATCATGGAGCTGGCAGAAAATTGGAATCATTTCATGTATCTGTTTTACCACTTTAGAATCAGTTGAGTCCCTGAAGAACCAAATAGAAGAATGACCAAAACTCGGGATCCCCAAAACTTTTCATATTTGAAGTGTCATTTCTCTGTGAGCTCCCAGGGAACCTATATGTTTGGAGAATAAAGCCTGCACCTTCCTCTTCATCATCTGGGCCATGTCTTCCCCCACTAGGTCTTCCCTTCACCATCTGCATTTAAAGCTCCTTAAAAGCAGGAGTATTTCCAAACTTTTATACCTCCAGGACAATAGCAGATACATAAGCCATCAATGTGTCTTTGTTGACTTATTGTCCAAAATCAAGTTTCATGTCTGCCCAGATGACATTTGATTAGAATCCAGTCTGTTCTTTTGACAGTCATCCCCCAGTACCTAACATCATCACAATCTTCTTTTAAATGCCAACAGACAGACAGAAATTCATCCTGGTCTCTGCCTTCACAAAGTCTATCATGTAGGAATCTACTGATGATTTACCAGGTTCTAGGCACTTTACTAAAAATTGTATATGTGCTATCTCATGTCAACCTTCCCCATTTTTTAAAATGGAGAACAAGAGGCTAAGAGCTGTTACTTAACTTACCTAAGGTCATGTCAACAGTATTTAAAGTGAACTCTATCCCACAAATGGCATTTGATAAGATGCTGTGTGGGCAATAGGGAGAAAGGACACACACAGGGTGTCAGAAAATAATCATGAAGACATTGGCTTTGAATTAGGCTTCAGTGGTCCTCAGAAAATGCCCAATGTCCCTTGCCTTCTAGGTTTTATACATGCTGTTTCCTCTTCCTGGTGTATTCCTCCCTTCAAGCCCACTTTACCCTTCTAAACCCTAAATCCTTGACTAGTTCTTGATAGTGAACCCCTCCCCTGCCAAAAGAGCCTCTGTTTTTTAAAGTCTGTATATGTTCCATTGAATTTTAATTGATTTTAATGTCTGTACATCCTTCAATCCAGACTGTGACCTCCTTGAGAACAGGGGCATGATCCTTCAACCCTATGCCTTAAAATCTAGCATAATCCTTCACATATAATAGATGCTCAGTGATTGTTACATTTGATAAAATAAGATAAATACTTTGTATTGAGGGCTTAGCAGAGACAAGGCAAAATGATAAATGTTTTGTATATATCATCTAATTTAATCTTCACTGCTTCCCTACTTTACATATGAAGAACTAGTGTTCAAAAAAAAAAATAGTGTTTCCTAAATAAACACCAGGAAGCAAACATTTTATCAGGGGTGTCCAATATTTTGGCTGGGCCATACTGGAAGTTGTCTTAGGCCACACATAAAATACACTAACGCTAATGATAGCTAATGAACTTAAAAAAAGTCACAAAATAATTCATAATGTTTTAAGAAAGTTTACAAATTTTCATTGGTTTACAGGTTGGACAAGCTTGTTTTAGATGGAGGGAGGGGGCCAGGAGAAAAAACCAAAATTAGTAAAACATTCTAAAATATCTTTCTATGCCAAAAAAAACCCTTAAGACTATGCTCAAGGACCTTTCCACCTACCCCACCTACCCACATTGAACTCTCAGGATAGATCTTCTCTGCTATCCTATCCTTCCCGCTCCCATCAGGGCCTGTATTTTTCCAGCTTTCAATTTGCTGCCTCTTTCCAGCATCCCAGGGGTCTTTTTAGCATCTTTATCCCCCAGGGAATTGCTATTCTCATGTAGGGTTCTAATAATAGGATAAATACCCCAGTTCTTTTGCTTCCTACACTCTAACCCCTGTAGGACCAGATCCCACTATCACATCCTGCCTCAGACCTGGTAAGTTTGTCTCTCTGTCTGTCTGGTCTTCTCAGTGTGCCCACTATCCGGTTGAACAAAGACATGACTGCCACTAAGGTAATTTTTTCACTGAGGTTGTCTCTACTTCAGATTAAAAGGACTTACAAATGAATCACACTTTTGACCACTGTTTTGTGGCCGTGTAGTTTAATTGGCTCTTCAGGTAACTGTCTCCCCTAGTAATTGCCATAGTAGCCTATGAAGTAGGAATCAAGCTCTCCAGGTTACACAGATAGGGAAACAGTTTAAGAGTGTTTAGGTGGCTTGACCGAGATCACACAGCTGGTGAGTTGTAAAGCTGAGATTTGAATCTGGCTGCCCTTGGGCACCCATGAATGAGTGCTAAATTCTGGATTGGAAACTTCCAGATGCTCACGAGCACCTCCAAGATAAAGAACTTGCTCCGTTCCTCATGAGACAGCCTTGTTCCTGGCATTTGAACTCCTATTCTTACATATTTTAGGTGAGGCCTATCTTATATTAAGTGCTAAAATAATTCAGAACAAAGCAGGGGAATGAGGGGCATTAAGGAGAGTTATTCCGGAGAGCTATCGGGAGGAGGCAGGGAGGCTTCCTTGCCTGATCTCAGTAAGCAGATGAAACAGAGGAAAATAATACTAGAGTATAGGCAGAAAAGGGTTCATGGGCAGAGAGTAGAAAGCTTTAAGAGTTTCTAGCCATTCACCATGGAGAGGGCTCTGCAACCATGACACACACTCCCGTCCTAGACATCATTGAATCAGACTAAAGTGGCAAAGGCTCCTTTGAACACGGTAATAACCCATCTTCTGCCTTGCATACTTTCCCAGTTCCCTAAAATCTCATCCTGAGTGTTTTTCATGAGGTCTAACTCAAATATTAGTAGGAGAGTAAAGTGAGGACCACCCAAGGCTCTCACTTTAACCTTGACCTCTTTCCTAAAATCCAGGAATATTATACTCAACATATGCTCTTCCAACTTCATATTCCCCCTCTGTGCAAATGGTGTGAGACTATGGGAACTTGTGGTCATTACGCTGTGTAGTTCCAGATCAAGGGTGGAGCCAAAGTTTTTTGAGTAGCAGTTTAAGGCCTGAGAAAATATGATTCAATCATTAAAAGACTGAGATGAAAGAAGAAAAGAAGGGAGGGAAAGAAAGTAGGACCATCTCATTCACGACTGGATTATTCAGCTCTCAATTTTCTCCACAAAGGGTACTGAAGCACGGACACTGCAAAAGCAATATCTCACATAAATGTATGTCCCTGTGTCTTCTGAGTACAGCCTTACTTATGCATCTTGCACAATAACATATATAGATACACAAAATCACATGCCCAGCCAAACACTGTGGTCCCATCAAATGGAACAGTTTTACATATATCATTTCACAAGGTCCTTCACACTCTGATTTCTCTTTCTCAGACCTTTCAGCTACCATGAAGGCTAAAATCTCTTCTAGGCTTGCTTGGGCCCAGGCTGGATGGTGGAAATTCAGGGAGATATCATAGAAGAGAAAAACGGGAAATACATGAAGGGATGACAAGACAGAAAGGAACAAGATGATTTGCTCAATATGAGAGTGACAGCCACAGTTGACATTGGGATGGAAAGGAGGCATCCTGGACCACAGTTCTTTCCTGCAGATCACATTAGAAGACCTTACCCTCTTCTTTCCTGCTCCTACATCTTTCCCCAAAACAGTTTCCTATGATCTCTGGGTATGGGTAGCTGATGCTAAGGATTGCAAGGAGCATTGCATTTTAAGATTAGGAATACAGATGAGCATCACTATATGGTAAAATTGGTTCCACTATCTCTGTTTCAATTAGCAATTGGAACATAGTCACATACAATTATATTAGAAGTTCTTTTCTTTTGATAGAGGTACTTTTCTTTCTACTCTCTCCTATGTCTATTTCTGGTTCTTGTTCTCATCTTTTTTTATTTCACCACCTCTCCCTCTACTGTCCCCTTCCTGCCTTTTTTTGTTTAATCTTTCCTTTCTCTCAAATTCCCAATTACTACCTCATTAGAGAAGAAAAAAAAATGAGATAAAAATATATTTCAAAATGTAGGTGAGGGAAGATCAGAAGGGTGTTTGAGGGTAATAGGAAATATGGGGAGATGTATGGAGGTACAGTACTATCATTTGGTCAAACCTGGGTCTCCATTTTTGCTTTCAGGGAATGATTCTATGTTCCCAACTACTAAAATTTACTTCTTACCTCTTTCTTTTATGTACTTTTGATTTTTATGAGAGAAAATGCTTTGTATTCAATCATTTCTCAAAGACCTTAACAGATTATTTTTATGGCCAAATTAGCCTGATCCCTACCACTGACCAATTCAGCATGATCACAGCTGTTTCTACCAGCATCTGTACAGGACACTTGAGGCAAGTGCAGGATCCTTGTACTAAACATAAGCCAGACAATCTTACGCCTGTATCAGACTACCAAAGACTCAGCCTCTCACCTCTGTTTTGCTGTTCCTGGTCAGAACCTAGGTTCTGAGCCTCATCTATGGGTTATTACATGCTCAATGGCTTGAAAAATCCGCCCAAGATCTCTTCTCCTTCCTATCAATTCCCTTCAGACCTGATCTTTCAATCTTGAAAAGTAACCACATTTGAGTCTTCCATCCAATCTGCCTGACTTTTTATCATTAATATTACTCTTATGTTGTCACACAGGCAGATGAATCCGAAGAAAAAAATTCAGAGTATAGGCAAAAGAGGGCTCACAGGTAGAAGAAAGCTGCAAAATTCTCTGCTACAGCCTGTCACCATAGAGAAGTTTCTATAGCCATGCCACTTGCCCAGCGCCCACAGCCTAGACATCATTGAATTGGAGAGAAGTGTGAAGCGCTCCTTTGAACCCTGAAGCTAGTAACCCACCTCCTGCCTTGCATTATTTCCCAGTGCCCTACTATCTTCCCATTCTGGATGCTTTCCACAAAGTCTAATGCAAATATTTCCTGCTGCTGTTCAGCCACAGCATAAAGATGAATCCCAGTTGCTTCATCTCTCAGGGATTCCTAGGACTCAGAGTAAGGCAGTGAGATCTTCTCTACCCACCTTACCTGGCCATGAAACTCACAAACCATAGCCATCAGAACCCAACCTCCTTTCTGCTCATGGGAATTCCAGGCCTGGAGGCATCCCACTTTTGGATTGCTTTTCCCTTCTGCTCCATGTATGCCCTGGTAGTGCTGGGAAGCATGGTGGTGCTGCTAGTGGTACATTCAGAGCCTGTATTGCACCAGCCCATGTACCTGTTCCTCTGCATGCTATCCACCATTGACCTGGTCCTCTGCACCTCCACTGTGCCCAAGCTCCTTGCACTTTTTTGGGCAAAGGATGCTGAGATCACCTTTGGGGCCTGTGCTGCCCAGATGTTCTTTATCCATGGCTTCTCAGCTGTAGAATCTGGTATACTGCTAGCAATGGCCTTTGACCGCTACTTAGCCATCTGCCGGCCTCTGCACTATGGGTTGTTGCTCTCCCCAGAGTCTGTAGGCAAGCTGGGGGCTGCAGCTGTGCTTCGTGGCTTGGGACTCATGACCCCACTCACCTGCTTGCTGGCAAGACTGAGGTACTGCAGTCGAGTGGTGGCCCACTCCTACTGTGAACACATGGCTGTGGTGAAGCTGGCTTGCGGAGAAACACAGCCAAACAACATCTATGGCATCATCGCTGCCACACTGGTTGTGGGCACTGACTCCATCTGTATTGCTGTCTCCTATGCACTCATCCTCCGGGCTGTGTTAGGCCTCTCCTCCAAGGAGGCAAGGGCTAAGACCTTTGGCACTTGTGGCTCCCACCTGGGGGTCATCCTTCTCTTCTACACACCAGGACTCTTCTCCTTCTACACACAGCGGTTTGGCCAGCACGTGCCCCGGCACATCCACATCCTCCTGGCTGACCTCTACCTGGTTGTGCCACCCATGCTCAACCCCATCATGTATGGTATGAAGACCAAGCAGATCTGGGATGGGGCCCTCCGGCTTCTGAAGTGGAGCCCTGCTCAGTCATAGTCTTCAACCCCAACCTGAAACCTTTATCTTCTTCTCCCCTCAGCCCTCAGGGGAGACTGGTGGCTCCCAACGTGATAGGGACACAGAAACCCATGCTCAATGGTACCCGTACTTTGATAAGGAGCAACAGTAAAATCAGATGGTGGAAGATCTGTCAGGTGTTTCTTACTTATGATGTAGATATGGTTACAAAGCTCAGGAAGCCCCTGTCTAATGGGAAATATGGCTACCAAACTGATGATGGCCTCCCAGGGAATCCAATTCTGCTATCTGACATTGTTCCTACCTTCCAGAAGATATTGTTAAAATGGGAAAGATATAGCTACTGGTATGACAAGGAGAAATAACCTCCATCCACAGACAGGTATTCCTACTCGGATAGGAATACATATATACCTCCCTCATCAAGTTCTACATCTGACTGGGGAGAAACACACCCACACCCATACATAGAATCAGGCAGAGAGGCAGAGACAAGGCACTTAGCAATTAGCCATAGGGATGATAACCACAAAAGAAGGAGAATCCTGGGCAAACTGTCCAGTGTACACAAGAATAAGTAACAAGGTATGATGTAAATCTAGGAAGGTTCTCTGGAATAGTTTTTATCTTTTCACTGAGCATGTACTATGGGCCAAATATTTTGCTAAAACCTAGGGCAAATTAGGTCAAAGAGCCTCCTCTCATGATGACTGCTCACTGTTAGAGGAAACACACATAAGGAGACAGTGGCCAAAGTGAATCATACTATTTCAGTTGTCCCTCCTTATATGTGGGAGGATTGGTTCCAGGAATCCTATATAAACCAAAATCTGTGCATATGCCAAGTGAACCCTAAGAACAGAAATATACAAAAAGTTGGCTCTCCTTATTTGCAGGTTTTATATCCTACAATTCCAATATTTTTTATCTGTGTTTGGTTAAAAATAATCTGCCTGTAAGTGGACCTGCATATTTCAACCCATGTTGTTCAAAGGTCAAACTAATATGATTAGGGTAAGCACAGAGACCGTGGGTAAAGAACACCAACTTGCTCAGAAGAAATGAGGCCCCAGGCCACACCTCATCTCACCCCATCTCTGTATGCAGGTAAGGCCATGCCTAGGTGTAAGGTGCAGGAGCAAAGCCTAAGGCGAGATGACATCCTAAGTCTTTCCTTCTATGCCCTGGAAGTGGCCTTGTGCACTTCCCCTAAGCATCAAAATTCCAGGGAAGGAACCAGGTCCTTCTTTGGGAAGAAAATAGGGAACTCTGTCCAATTTGACCTTCTGAGGCAGGTTTATAAGAATGAAAATTATAAAATGATGGCAGCCACTAGAGAGCTATTTGGCTCCTGGATAAAACATTTTAATAAGCTTAGAAAGAGCTTAAACAGGAGAAGGCCTCTAATGGGCTCAGGATTCCCTGGGTCCCCAGAACTGCAGTCAGTAGCTGCAGTGGATTAGTTTAACAGTCTGCAGTGTACCAAGAGAATATACATTTACTGTAGTCTCATAATCATCTGATGAGATAATTATCCCCAACTTACAGGGCAGAGGCAGAAGATTAGGAAGACACTTGCTTGCCCAAAACAGCAAGTACATTTCTAATATGAAATTCCGTGCCTTTTACTCTTTACCAGGTGAGTTCCTATAAATCTAGACCCTAAGACCAAGAATCTAGTAAAAGTCTGATCCGAGGGTGAGAGGCTAATTTTTTTCCTAACATCACTGACATTTCTGAGAGCGTGCAATATGCCAAACCCTGTTCTAGGTGTTGGACATATAATGGTGATTCAGAAAGATAAATTTTTGACAACTTGAATATGGGACCCCAGCAAATCTCCCCCATGTACTCTGTGACTCTATTACTCAACCTGAAGCCATCCAAATAATTCTTCCTTCACCCCAGGTCTCACCACAAAAGAGTGTGGTAGTCTTAATTTGCCCACAGACACCCCAGGTTGTCAGACAATCAGAGGCCACAGATTAGCCAGTAAATTCTAGTGTCCAGGGTCCTTAACTCAAACTAGGGGAAGTCCAGAAAACTTGCTACATCGTATTTGAGACTATATTGGCTATGGCTGGATTATTTTTCCCAAAGTTCTTTTTTTAATGAGGCATAATTTACATAAAATACATCTCTGACAAATACACAACAGTATAAACACCATCTTAATCAAGATACAAAGTATCGGCTGGGCACAGTGGTTCATGCCTGTAATCCTAGCACTTTGGGAGATTCAGGCAGACAGATTGCTTGAGCCCCACAGTTCGAGATCAGCCTGTACAATATAGCAAGACTTCATCTACAAAAAATACAAAAATTAGCCTGTAGTCCCAGCTACTCAGGAGGCTGAGAGGTGGGAGGATCGCTTGAGCCTGGCTGGGTTGGGGCTGCAGTGAGCTGTGATTGCACCACCGCTCTATAGCCTGGGTGACAGAGTGAGATCTTCTCTCAAAAAAAAAAAAAAAAATTCACAATCACAAAAGGTTCCCTTATGCTCCTTCCCAGCAATACCCTTGACCCTCCATGGAAATAACCATTGTCCCACTGTTTAATTTTTGATCACCTTGGATTAAATTTAATTTACCATTCCAGAAATTCACATAAATGGAATTACACAATATATATACTTTGTCTGACTTCTTTGGCACAACATAATATTTTTGAGATTCATGTTATGTGCATCAACTGTTAATTTCTTCTTATTGCTAAGTAATTTTCCATTGTATGAACATATCAAAGTTTACTTCTGGATACCTGAGTTTCCCATATTTTACTATTATGAATAAAACTGCTGTGAGTACTTCTTAACCTAGCAGTGAAATGGCTGGGTCAGAGGTTAATAGAACCTGCTTTTCCAAAGTAATTGCACCATTTTTTAATCTCACCAGTGATGTATAACAGTTCCTAGCTGTTCTACATCCTGGTCATTCCTTAATATTGTCATTCTTTTTTTCATTTTAGCCAGTCCATTGACTAAAAGTAAGCTAGTAACTTCTTGTGATTTTAGTTTGCATTTCTCTGATGTTGAACAACTTCTCACATATTTTCTGTTCATGCATATGCCTTCTGTAGAATGTTTGTTGAAGTCTTTTCCCACTTCTAATTTTTTATTTTGTTGACTTGTACTAGCTATTTATATATTCTGGGTACAAGCCATTTGCCAGATATACATAGTGAAAATATTTTATTCAATTTTGTGACTTGCCTTTTGATTTTTTTTTAATTCTTTTGATACAGGGTCTCGCTCTGTTACCCTGGTGGGAGTGCAGTTGTGCAAACTTGGCTCACTACAACCTCAACTTCCCAGGCTCCAAGTAGTCCTCCCACCTCAGCTTCCCAGGTAGCTGGGACTACAGGCATGAGCCACCACACCCAGCTAGTTTTTCTTTTCTTCTTCTTCTTTTTTTTTTTTTTTTTTTTTGTAGAGACAGGGTTTTGCCATGTTCCCCAGGCTGGTCTCAAACTCCTGGGCTCAAGTGATCCACCCACCTCAGTGCTGGGATTACAGGCATGAGCCACAGCTCCTGACCTTCATTTTCTCACTAGTATCTTTTGATTACAAGAAATTTTTAGTTATGATGAAGTCCAAATAATCAATTTTATTCATGGTTAGTGCTTTGTTTTACAGATTTAGCTTTTAATTTTAGGCCTATGATCCAACATGAATAAAAATTGTGTATGTCGTAACCTAGAGTTCAAGATTTATTTTTCACGTGAATATTCCATTGTTTCAGCATTATTTGTTAAAGATTTTCTTTTCCAAATTGACTTGCCTTGGCAAATAGATCAAGAAAGTGATCAAGAAAGTGTCAACACTACACTTTCTTAATAATAGTATTATAGTAAGTCTCAAATGAAGTAGCGTAAGTCTTCTAACACTATACTTTCACAGTGGTTCTTATTATTCTGGGTTCTTTGTATTCCCATATATATTTCAAAATCAATTTGTTCATTTCTACAAAAATTGCTAGAGTTTTGGTTGTTTGATATTGAGCTTTTTAAATTTTATTGTACTGGCTAGGACCTCCAATACATTGTTGAATAAAACTAGTAAAGCAGACATCCTTGTCTTGTTTCTGATCTTTTTCTTTTGTTAACACCTTTATTGAGATGATTCAAATACTATACAATTCGCCCATTTAAAGTGTACAGTTCAATGGTTTCTAGTATATCCACAGATACATGCAACCATCACCACAGTCAATTTTAGAATACTTTCCTCACCTCAAAACCAAACCTCATACACTGTAGTTATCACCTTCATATTCTCCTGTCCTCACCAGCCCTAAGCAACCACTATTCAGCTTCTTCCTGAATCTCTAGATTTCCCTACTCCAGACTTTCATGTGAATGAATACATAATATATGGTACTTTGGGACTGACTTCTTTCACTTAGCATAATGCTTTGTAGGTTCATCCATGCTGTAGCATATCAGTATGTCATTCCTTTTTCTGGCTGAATAATATTCCATTGTATGAACATATACCACATTTTGTTTATCCATTAATGAGTTGACGGATATTTAGGTTGTTTCCACCTTTTGGCAATCACAGATAATGTGACTATAACATCGTGTACAACTGTTTGTGTGGACATATGTTTTCATTTCTCTTGGGAATATACCTAGAAGTAGAGTTACTGGTCATGTGGTAACTGTTTAACCATTTGAGGAACTGCCAAAGTTATTCTAGAGCAGCTGCACCATTTTACATTTCTCACGCCAGAAGTGTAGGAGAGTTTCAGTATGTTCACATCCTAACTAATGCCTGCTATGGTCTCTCACCGTTATATTAACAGCTTTATTGAGGTGTAATTGATACGCAAAAACCTACACCTATTTTGTGTAGACAGTTTGAGTTTGGACATATGCATATATTCATGGGCTTGTTTCTGAATTCAGGAGGATAGTATTCAGTCTTTCATCATGAAATATGTTAACCATACACTTCTCACAGATACCATGTTGAAAAAGTACACATCTATTGAAATTTGTTGCAAGTTTTCATCAAG